TGGGGGGCCAATTTTTTCTCATTTCAGATTTCAGAAATTAAAAAGAATTATTCTTCAAATATTTTTTTTTTTTCAAATTTCAAATATTGAAAAATTTCAAGAAGTAATCTTTAATTGCACAGTATGGCGCATTAGATTTGTAAAATCTTTGATCACATTTATTTATTTGTTATGCCGAATCTAACAGTGTATTTAGATTTTTAATTTTGGGTCCAGTTTTCAAATTGCATTAATGTCCAAAGGGTCCAAAATTAAACTTTGTTTGATTTTAGCAAAAATTGAATATATGAGGTTCTTTGATATGCTGAATCTAAACATGTATTTAGATTTTTGATTTTTGGCCCAGTTTTCAAGTTGGTCCAAATTGGGGTCCAAAATTAAACTTTGTTTGATTTCAACAAAAATTGAATATATGGGGTTCTTTGATATGCTGAATCTAACCATGTATTTAGATTTTTTATTTGTGGACCCCATTATCTAATTGGTTCATATTGAGGTCAAAAGGGTCCAAAATTAAACTTTGTTTGATTTCATCTAAAATTGAATTATTGGGGTTCTTTGATATTCCAAATCTAACCGTGTATTTAGGTTTTTAATTTTGGGTCCTGTTTTTTAAATTGGTCTACATTGAGGTCCAAAGGGTCCAAAATTAAACTTAGTTTGATTTTAACAAAAATTGAATTCTTGGGGTTCTTTGATTTGCTGAATCTAAACATGTGTTTAGATTTTTGATTATGGGCCCAGTTTTCAAGTTGGTCCAAGATAGGGTCCAGTATTTAAACTTTGTTTGATTTCAACAAAAATTGAATATATGGGGTTCTTTGATATGCTGAATCTAAACATGTGTTTAGATTTTTGATTATGGGCCCAGTTTTCAAGTTGGTCCAAATTGGGGTCCAAAATTAAACTTTGTTTGATTTCAACAAAAATTGAATATATGAGGTTCTTTGATATGCTGAATCTAACCATGTATTTAGATTTTTTATTTGTAGGCCCCGCTATCAAATTGGTTCATATTGAGGTCAAAAGGGTCCAAAATTAAACTTTGTTTGATTTCATCGAAAATTGAATTATTGGGGTTCTTTGATATGCCAAATCTAACCGTGTTTTTAGATTTTTAATTTGGGTCCCGTTTTTTAAATTGGTCTTCATTGAGGTCCAAAGGGTCCAAAATTAGACTTAGTTTGATTTTAACAAAAATTGAATTCTTGGGGTTCTTTGATATGCTGAATCTAAACATGTGTTTAGATTTTTGATTATGGGCCCTGTTTTCAAGTTGGTCCAAGTTGGGGTCCAAAATTAAACTTTTTTTGATTTCAACAAAAATTGAATATATGGGGTTCTTTGATATGCTGAATCTAACCATGAATTTAGATTTTTTATTTGTGGGCCCCGCTATCAAATTGGTTCATATTGAGGTCAAAAGGGTCCAAAATTAAACTTTGTTTGATTTCATCAAAAATTGAATTATTGGGGTTCTTTGATATTACAAATCTAACCGTGTATTTAGATTTTTAATTTTAAGTCCCGTTTTTTAAATTGGTCTACATTAAGGTCCAAAGGGTCCAAAATTAAACTTAGTTTGATTTTAGCAAAAATTGAATTCTTGGGGTTCTTTGATATGCTGAATCTAAACATGTGTTTAGATTTTTGATTATGGGCCCAGTTTTCAAGTTTGTCCAAGTTGGGGTCCAAAATTAAACTTTGTTTGATTTTAACAAAAATTGAATATATGGGGTTCTTTGATATGCTGAATCTAACCATGTATTTTGATTTTGGACATTGGACCATAATAGGTAAATTAAAAAAATTCAAGTTCTTAGACCACATTCTTTCTGTGTCAGAAACCTATGCTGTGTCAAATATTTAATAACAATCCAAATTCAGAGCTGTATCAAGCTTGAATGTTGTGTCCATACTTGCCCCAACTGTTCAGGGTTCGACCTCTGCGGTTGTATCAAGCTGCGCCCCAGCGAAGCATTTTATTGTAACTTCCAGACATAACTTGTGTGTTAGTGTATGGATCTCTCTGACATTGTACCAAAAGGTTCCATATCACAAAGGGAATGCTGGGATTGATTTTGGGGGTAATTGCCTCAAAATATTAGGAATTAGGGGCCAAAAAGGGGCAAAAAACAAGCATTTTTCTAGTTTCATGACAATAACTTGTGTGTAAGTGTATGGATCTTTCTGAAATTGTACAACAAGGTTCCATATCACAAAGGGAAAGCTGGAATTGAGTTTGGGGGTAATTGCCCAAAATGTTGAGGAATAAGGGGCCAAAAAGGGGCAAAAAATAAGCATTTTTTCTAGTTTCCAGACAATAACTTGTGTTCAAGTGTATGGATCTCTCTGAAATTGTACCACAAGGTTCCATATCACACAGGGAATGCTGGGATTGATTTTGGGGGTAATTGCCTCGAAATTTTAGGAATTAGGGGCAAAAAAGGGGCAAAAAACAAGCATTTTTCTAGTTTCATGACAATAACTTGTGTGTTAGTGTTTGGATATTTCTGAAATTGTACTACAAGGTTCCATATCACAAAGGGAAAACTGGAATTGAGTTTGGGGGTAATTGATCTAAACGTTTAGGAATTGGGGGCCAAAAAGGGGCCAAAAAACACATTTGTCTAGTTTCCAGACAATAACTTGTGTTCAAGTGTATGGATCTCTCTGAAATTGTACTGCAAGGTGCCATACCACAAAGGGAAGGCTGGGATTGAGTTTGGGGGTGATGAATCATAAGGGGGTTCAAAAAATTGGGGGGGGATTTTTTTTTTTTTTCCTTTTTTTCTTTTTTTCCTTTTTTTTTTTCTTTTAAAATTTTCCATTTTAAGTTGGTTATTTCTGATTTATATTTAAAAGCAAATAATACTGATATGGTAGGAGATACACACCAAACAGGATGTGTAAATTATTATATAATAAGTATTGTGCAATAGCAAGAAATTTTCAATTGCACAGTATTGCACAATAGCAAGAAATCTTCAATTGCACAGTATTGCGCAATACCAAGAAATCTTCAATTGCACAGTATTGTGCAATAGCAAGAATCCAATGGCACAATATTGCACAATAGCAAGAAATTGTCAATTGTGCAGTATTGCGCAATAGCAAGAAATATTCAATTGCACAGTATTGTGCAAAAGAAGATACTTCGTATAAATTGCTTATTTCTTGACCAATTTCAATGGGGTTTTATTCTTGAATTCTTGGGGTTCTTTAATATGCTGAATCTAACCGTGTATTAAGTTTTTGGATTTTGGGCCCCGTTTTTAAATTGGTCCACATTGAGGTCCAAAGGGTCCAAAATTAAACTTTGTTTGATTTCATCAAAAATTGAATTATTGGGGTTCTTTGATATGCCGAATCTAACCGTGTATTTAGATTCTTAATTTTTGGTTCCATTTTCAAATTGGTCTACATTAAGGTCCAAAGGGTCCAAAATTAAACTAAGTTTGATTTTAACAAAAATTGAATTTTTGGGGTTCTTTGATATGCTGAATCTAAACATGTATTTAGATTTTTGATTATGGGCCCAGTTTTCAAGTTGGTCCAAATCGGGGTCCAAAATTAAACTTGTTTGATTTCAACAAAAATTGAATATATGGGGTTCTTTGATATGCTGAATCTAACCATGTATTTAGATTTTTGATTTTTGGGCCCGTTATCAACTTTGTCCATATTGAGGTCAAAAGGGTCCAAAATTAAACTTTGTTTGATGTCATCAAGAATTGAATTCTTGGGGTTCTTTGATATGCTGAATCTAACCATGTATTTAGATTTTGGATATTGGACCATAATAGGTGAATGTCCAATTTAAAATTTTTAAGTTCTTAGACCACATTCATTCTGTGTCAGAAACCTATGCTGTGTCAAATATTTAATCACAATCCAAATTCAGAGCTGTATCAAGCTTGAATGTTGTGTCCATACTTGCCCCAACTGTTCAGGGTTCGACCTCTGCGGTCGTATCAAGCTGCGCCCTGCGGAGCATTTTATTCTAGTTTCCAGACAATAACTTGTGTTTAAGTGTATGGATCTCTCTGAAATTGTACTACAAGGTTCCATACTACAAAGGAAAGGCTGGGATCGAATTTTGGGGTTATTGCTCCAAGGGGGGTTCCAAAAAGTTGGGGGGGGGGATTTTTTTTTTATTAATTTTTTTAGAGGATTCACATATTTTTTTTTTCAAATTTAGAATTTTTGAAAAGTTTCAAGAAGAAATCTTCAATTGCACAGTATTGCACAATAGATTTGTAAGATCTTTGACCACATTTATTTTGTGTCAGAAATCTATATTATGTCAAAAATTTGATCACAATCCAAATTCAGACAGTATCAAGCTTGAATATTGTGTCCAAATTTGTACCAACTGTTTAGGGTTTGACCTCTGCGGTCGTATCAGGCTGCACTCAGCGAATCATTTTATTTCATCATGCTCGAAGATATTGATTTGATAATTGGTATATAGTTTTATCATGACAAGTTACAGATCAAGTTTGAATTTTGTTTTGGTCTGATGATTTTGTGCAGAGTTATGGTCCTTGGAATTAGAAAATTCACTAAAATAATCAGTTTTATTTATTGACGGTGGGGGTATATTCTAAACTTTAATAGAAAAAAATCTGGTGGTTAAATTTTTATAAAACTTTTTGCAAGAATAACAGACTTATATAGCACTACAAATGGTTAGTTAAAAAAAAAAATAAAACAACACCTTTTTTCTAAAGAATAAACTTATTCTTCAAATACTTGTTAGATATTAAAATAGAGTAAACAACATAAAATACTAAATAAAAGTTTACAGCTCATTTGTCAGATTTATATTCAGGTAAAGAAAAAATTAAAGTTGTAATCAAATTTGATACTTTTTAATGAAGATTTGTCCATGATTTATTTATAGTTGTTAAGTGATCGAAAATTACACACTTATTTTATTTTAAACAGTAAAACTACCCATAACCTGACTCACTGAAATTGTCATTGGATCTTTTTAGAGGCAGAAAAATGAATTCTAACCTGGAAGCAGCCATACATGAGGCTTTGATAGAATTAGATAGGCAGACCACTTTACAGATGGAAATGAAAATTAAACCAAAAGGCAAAATTACCAAGAAGAAGAAGGTTAAATAAAGACAGAAGGAGACCATATCATATGATAGATCACAGAGTTCAGAAGATACTTATCATTTTATTATTGTTGCTTAAGTCATCTGGGAATCTTAATTATGATTTTGAACAAATGGGGTATAAAGATTTACTACAATTGTGATTATTTTATTTTAAGTTTAGTGATATGTGATTTACATGAGTTTTTACATGCGGTTATTGATGGAAGAGCACAGGTGTCAAATCTTCAGATGTAAGACACAAATGAAAGAGCTTGTATTATCATTAATTCATTAAATTGGATTCTCTATCTGAAAATTATATCTCAATACTGGGGGTGAAATCGTATCTCCTTACAGGGGGTGGAATCATATCTCCATACAGGGGGTGAAATCTTCCACTGTTGGACAGTTGAAAATCTCACAATTTCTCCCAGTTACACACATCATTTTATACCAGGTTTACAACATACTTCTAAACAATTCCTCAAAGAGAGATTTCCAACTTTAGTGATTTGAAAAATTGACAAGTGGGCAACCGAATCCGATGTTTCTGAATTTTATGTATTTTTTCAGCTATAAATGCATACACCAGTACACAAATAATATAATTTATGTTGCCTTATGACTGGACAGTGACTGCTTCACTTTTCTATTTTATCCGTTCAATTGATAAGAAATTTTACAGTGATGTTGGTAGAACTGGAATAGAATTAAGAATACTCACAATCCTGTAGGATCAATATCTACTGTCTGCAAAACAACCAATTGTAAAGTCACATAAGAAAAATAAACTAGTAATTTTTAAATTACTATAAATTGTAAAATTTTAACATGCTAGGTTTAAAAGGATTGACTCATTTCTTAAAGAATGAACTCTTTTTAAAAAATATAATCTAAAAATTCAGTAAAATATACATTGGTGTAAAATAATAGGTTTCTATTTAAACTTCAATGGGAGATAACCCAATCTATATAAAAAGAAGATGTGGTATGATTGCCAATGAGACAACTCTCCACAAGAGACCAAATGACACAGAAAAATACAGTAAAAGAAATAGAACATTAATATAATGGAATATGTAGACAGCTCTCTCACAAGCAAAAAACCCTAACTGTAAAAATATAAAGGCATACACTACAATATGTTCTTTTATTATGTAACCATGGGAGATATTGTATTGAACATATTTGAAAGGAATAGAAATACTAGGCATCTGTTATGCTTTTAAATTAAAATACATATTATGGAAAACATTGCTCTTGCAGTTCTTCTCAGACTTTCAATATCTAATTTTTAAAAACCATTGTGTATAGAAAATGTTATTGGAGATATGCCCTTGGAAATATAAATTGTGTTAAATAATTTGTTGGAAGCACTTTCTCCCTTGCAATCAATCAGATCCTTAAATAAGATTTAAATCATAGGTTTACACCAATATCTTGAAAGCAGTAGTGATTGTGAAAGTTTTGGGAGTTATGGTCCTTGCAATTGTAAAAGATTGTGTGAAAAATTGCCTTATATAAGCTCTTTCCATTAAAGTTCTTGATGGATTTTTAGAAAATAGTTTATGCACAAATATATCATTGAGCTCTAAATTAATGTTGATTGTATTGGAGTTAATTGTCTTTAAGGATGTTTGCTACTCTGTTTCAAAATAACAAGTTTTTTAAAAGACTGTTATAAATTGAAAGTATATGAATAAAGGAACTAAAAAAACAGAAAAAATTCAAGAGTCCGTGGGCTTGTTTTCGAGACATAAGCCATTGAAAATTTGGCGATTCTCTCTAGATTTTTCATACATTTAACATTGTCACCTTTTTATGCCCCCGCCGTAGCGGAGGGGGCATTAAGTTTTACCCTTGGCAATATATCATCATGTTTAAGATCATATGATATAATTGTGATTTTTATACGACCGCAAAAATTGAAAATTTTTTGGTCGTATATTGGTATGACGTTGGCGTCGTCGTCGTCGTCGTCGTCGTCCGGCGTCGTCTGGCGTCGTCCGAAGACACATTGGTTTTCGCACTCTAACTTTAGTTTAAGTGAATGGATCTCCATGAAATTTTACCATAAGGTTCAATACCATGAAAGGAAGGTTGGGATTGATTTTGGGGGTTATGGTACCAACAGTTAAGGAATAAGGGGCCAAAAAGGGGCCAACAATAAGCATTTTTGTAACTTCCAGACAATAACTTGTGTGTAAGTGTATGGATCTCTCTGACATTGTACCACAAGGTTCCATATCACAAAGGGAAGGCTGTAATTGATTTTGGGGGTAATTGCCTCAAAATGTTAGGAATTAGGGGCCAAAAAAGGGGCAAAAAACAAGCATTTTTCTAGTTTCATGACAATAACTTGTGTGTAAGTGTTTGGATATTTCTGAAATTGTACTACAAGGTTCCATATCACAAAGGGAAAGCTGGAATTGAGTTTGGGGGTAATTGCCCGAAACGTTTAGGAATTGGGGGCCAAAAAGGGGCCAAAAATAAGCATTTTTCTAGTTTCCAGACAATAACTTGTGTTCAAGTGTATGGATCTCTCTGAAATTGTACTGCAAGGTACCATACTACAAAGGGAAGGCTGAGATTGAGTTTGGGGGTGATGAATCATAAGGGGGTTCAAAAAATTTTGGGGGGGGATTTTTTTTTTTTCTTTTTTTTTTCCTTTTTTTCCTTTTTTTTTTCTTTTAAAATTTTCCATTTTAAGTTGGTTATTTCTGATTTATATTTAAAAGCAAATAATAATGATATGGTAGGAGATACACACCAAACAGGATGTGTAAATTATTATATAATAAGTATTGTGCAATAGCAAGAAATTTTCAATTGCACAGTATTGCACAATAGCAAGAAATCTTCAATTGCACAGTATTGCGCAATAGCAAGAAATCTTCAATTGCACAGTATTGCGCAATAGCAAGAAATATCCAATAGCACAATATTGCGCAATAGCAAGAAATTGTCAATTGTACAGTATTGCGCAATAGCAAGAAATAATCAATTGCACAGTATTGTGCAAAAGAAGATACTTCGTATAAATTGCTTATTTCTTGATCAATTTCAATGGGGTTTTATTCTTGAATTCTTGGGGTTCTTTAATATGCTGAATCTAACCGTGTATTAAGTTTTTGGATTTTGGGCCCCGTTTTTAAATTGGTCCACATTGAGGTCCAAAGGGTCCAAAATTTTACTTTGTTTGATTTCATCAAAAATTGAATTATTGGGGTTCTTTGATATGCCGAATCTAACCGTGTATTTAGATTCTTAATTTTTGGTTCTGTTTTCAAATTGGTCTACATAAAGGTCCAAAGGGTCCAAAATTAAACTTTGTTTGATTTCATCAAAAATTGAATATATGGGGTTCTTTGATATGCTGAATCTAACCATGTATTTAGATTTTTGATTATGGGCCCAGTTTTCGAGTTGGTCCAAATCGGGGTCCAAAATTAAACTTTGTTTGATTTCAACAAAAATTGAATATATGGGGTTCTTTGATATGCTGAATCTAACCATGTATTTAGATTTTTGATTATGGGCCCAGTTTTCAAGTTGGTCCTAATCGGGGTCCAAAATTAAACTTTGTTTGATTTCAACAAAAATTGAATATATGGGGTTCTGTAATATGCTGAATCTAACCTTGTATTAAGTTTTTGGATTTTTGGCCCCGTTTTTAAATTGGTCCACATTGAAGTCCAAAGGGTCCAAAATTTAACTTTGTTTGATTTCATCAAAAATTGAATTATTGGGGTTCTTTGATATGCCGAATCTAACCGTGTATTTAGATTCTTAATTTTTGGTTCCGTTTTCAAATTGGTCTACATAAAGGTCCAAAGGGTCCAAAATTAAACTTAGTTTGATTTTAACAAAAATTGAATTTTTAGGGTTCTTTGATATGCTGAATCTAAACATGTATTTAGATTTTTGATTATGGGCCCAGTTTTCAAGTTGGTCCAAATCGGGGTCCAAAATTAAACTTTGTTTGATTTCAACAAAAATTGAATATATGGGGTTCTTTGATATGCTGAATCTAACCATGTATTTAGATTTTTGATTTTTGGGCCCTGTTATCATTTTTGTCCACATTGAGATCAAAAGGGTCCAAAATTAAACTTTGTTTGATTTCATCAAAAATTGAATTCTTGGGGTTCTTTGATATGCTGAATCTAACCATGTATTTAGATTTTGGATATTGGACCATAATAGGTGAATGTCCAATTTAAAATTTTTAAGTTCTTAGACCACATTCATTCTGTGTCAGAAACCTATGCTGTGTCAAATATTTAATCACAATCCAAATTCAGAGCTGTATCAAGCTTGAATGTTGTGTCCATACTTGCCCCAACTGTTCAGGGTTCGACCTCTGCGGTCGTATCAAGCTGCGCCCTGCGGAGCATTTTATTATGTTTTACCCTTGTCCGTCCTTACGTCCCAAAGTTGGTTTCCGTTCTCTAATTTTAGTTTGCCTCAACCAAATGTTATGAAACTTGTACACAATGCTTATTACCTTAAAACACAGACTAAGTTTGAATTTTGGTGGCGTCACTTTTGCCGTTCTGGAGTTATGCCCTTTACAAATGGAAAAATTGCTGAATTTTTGGTTTCCATTCTCTAACTTTAGTTTGCCTCAACCAAATGTTATGAAACTTATACACAATGCTTATTACCACAAAACACAGATCAAGTTTGAACTTTGGTGGCGTCACTCTTATCGTTCTAAAGTTATGCCCCTTTACAAATGGAAAAACTGCTGGATTTTTTGTTTCGGTTCTCTAACTTGAGTTTGCCTCAACTAAATGTTATGAAACGTATACACAATGCTAATTACCACTAAACTCTGATCAAGTACAAATTTGGGTAGCGTCACTTTTACAGTTCTTGAGTTATGCCCCCTTGTAACATTATATGCAAGTGGGGGCATCATCTGTGTCCCATGGACACATTCCCCATTTGTTTCTTTCAAAAACTATTAAAAATAACAAGGATTTTATAAGATTTTCAAATATGGCTTTTTAAACTATATGTAATAAAATTATGAAAAGAAAAGTAGGGGTTTGTGGGCAAAATTTTTAATGGCACTACATGGATAAAATCAGTGGATTCTGAATATCTGGCAAAAATTCAAAAACAAGAGGAGCAAACATCCTTAAAATGTTAATTATGTTAATTATGTGAAAAGTTGCCACACAGATAGAGTTTATGGAATCTTAGGGATTTAAGTTGACTTTATTCCATGACTGCACTACTTTTATAGTTTATTAATCAGTAGCTCTGTTAGTGCAGAGTCAAATAACTTGCCATTGAGCAGTTATTTTAAGGAAACGGACACCAGTTAAGTTCCAAAACTTCAAATAGAAATGAGAGTAAAAGAGTTTCAGTTTAGTCATAATAAAAATGTAAACCTAGCTTGTTGCTATCCAACATTCTTACAAACTATTTATTTTAATGCATTTAGAATTAAAATGGCAGAAAATATTCATTTATATTAAGGTTTAAAGAAAGTAGTAAATGTTTTTTAATATAAAGTCAACATACCAGAACTATATTTTAGTATATATTGTTGTACAGAAATATTTCCTACAATAAAGTGTTTTATATATCGGGTCTCCTTTTAACAGTGCTTTTATGATATGTTGCATTTATTGTCTTGCATTTTTTGTTTTGTTTGTTTCACAAGTTAGTGCTTAACCTATAACATTGTTGTGTTTAAATTATGTTCAGTTTTTTTAACATGTTTCATAGATTGTATAATAAACCATATTTTTACTGTGTACTTTTTGAAATTTAAATGTCATGATCTATACACATTTTAAATTTGTTAGATGTATTTTTGTTTATGTATAAATTATAAGTGAATTCTGTGAATTTATGATACTTTTTTATGAGTTCTCAAGTTTGAATTTTAGATAATTGCACAATTT